CTGCATCGCGCCCCCCACCCCACATACCCCAGCCCCCCTGCTCACCCATTCCAACCTGTGAACTGACTGCACCCGATGCTCTCAGATCCACCCCAAGCCTGCTGATAACGGTGGGGCTGTTGTAGTCTGGCGTACTGACCCCTACGTTGCACAGGTTGAGTGCCAGCTCTCAGATACCTCCTCCTATCTCCCCCTGGACCATGATGCCACCATGAACCATCACACCATTGTGTCCACCACCGTCACTAATCTCATTTCATCTGGTGACCTCCACGCCCAACTCACCCCATGGCCTCTGAGCTCACAGACTCCCCGCCCGCTTGGCTCACCTTTACCTCCTTCCCAAATTCCACAAACAGGACTCCCTGGGCACGCCTGTTCTTTTTGCCACGGAACTCATCTCTTCCCACTTTAACTCACTATTTTTTTTTCTCCCTGCTCCAGTCCCTTGCCCACTCACAAACAATCCCTCTGACACTTTACGCCAGTTTTGGAGCTTCTGGTTCACAGACTCCAGCTGCCTCCTCTTTACCATAGGCGAGCAATCCCTTTAACACATCCACCCTTCCGTCCCCCCCACCCCCCTCCACATCAGGGTGGTCTCAGGGCTCTCTGCTTCTTCCTGCAGCAAAGGCCTGAACCGTACCCACCCACCACCCACCTCCCCCTCAACAACTTCTCTTTTAACTCCTCTCATTTTCTTCAGGTAAGAGGGATTGCCATGGGTATCCGCATGGGCCCCAGTTATGCCTGTCTCTTCATGGGATACGTGGAACATTCCTTGTTCTGGTCCTACTCCGGCCCCCCAACCACAACTTTCTCATCAATGCTACTTCCTTCTCTCATCCGGAATTAGAAAAGCTCGTCAATTTTGCCTCCAATTTCCACCCTGCTCTGACTTTCACCTGGTCCATCTCTGACTTCTCCCTCCTCTTCTTCCCCTATCCCTTTCTGGGGACAGACTGGCCACCAATATCCACTACCAACCCACTGACTCTGAGTTACCTTGACCGTACATCCTCACACTCTGCTTCCTGCAAAGACTTGTAGCAGCCTCCTGGCTGCTAGAACACAGATCGATTGCTAACTTGGCCAAATAGCAAGGGATGCTGGGTATATTGGCCATGTAAAACTCTGCAGTCACAAAACCTACACGTCACGCACAATGAAAACACAGCAGGCAGGTGCTAAGGATATCAGCGTAACGTAAAAGGCATCAGTTATCCTCGACAGACATATCCCCAACAATTTATCCACTAAACAAAGGAGGGCCCAGACAGAAAGGCACCAGGTACTGCTATGCAAAGAAACAAACAGTGGCAAGCTATCCAAATGATTAACCATGTGTCAAACTATTAATCGAGTCTCCCGGACTAGCCAGAACTACAGAACGATCCAGAAAACCATGCACAAACGTGTAAAAACAGGGTTCACCTACATGTTGGACCCTCTGTAGAGACTGACCGTCCAGACAAAGAGAGAGAGACAGAGAGGAAGAGAGAAAGCAGCTTCGCAGTCCCACAGAGATGGAGAGAGAGAAAGAGAGACAGACAGAGAGAGAGAGAGAGTGAGTGGCTATGCAAATCTACAAGTGACTCAGGAAGTAATGCAAACAGGATTAGAGATAGTATCGTTTTGTAGCAAAAGCTGTTGTTACATGTTTCCTAATAAAGTTGGGACTGTACTGCACTGTAGTGACTGGACCACTTCGGTGTTGTGGGTCACCTGGGCAAATTCATTCGTTACATTCTGGTTGGAGTTGTCTAATTCTTTACTGAGGAAGTAGACAACAGACTTTATTCCATTCTCTCAGTTCCTCTGTCCGTTCTGATGATGCCAAGTTTGACAAAATGCCCTCAACCGAGGAATCCCCAGCACCATGGCTGGCAGGGGCCTGAACCCCTTCTCTTCCCTCCCACAACAGCGATAGGGTTCCCCTTGTCCATACCTACCAGCATCCACATCCAGAAGATCATCAGACGCCATTTCCGCCACCTCCAGCAAGATGCCACCACCAGACACATATTCCCCTCTCCTCCCTTGTCCGCCTTCCGCAGGGACCGTTCCCTCCGGGACACCCTGGTCCACACTTCTTTCATTCCCAACACCTCCCCACAGCCCTACGGCACCTTTCCCTGTAACCGGTGAAGGTGCAACACCTGCCCATTTACCTCCTCCCTCGCCACTATCCAAGGGCCCTTGTGGGTGAAGCAGCGTTTTACCTGAACTTCACTCAATTTAGTCTAATGTGGTCTCCTCTACACCAAGAGATCGAAGCTTAGACTGGGCAACCGCTTCACAGAACACTCACATTTTGTCCGCGAGAAAGACCCTGAGCTTCCAGTTGCCTGTCACTTCAACGCATCAAATAGAAACTGAAAGAGCTGCGGAGGCTGTAAATCAGAAATTGCTGCAAAAGCTCAACAGGTCTGGCAACATCTGTGGAGAGAAATCAGAGTTAACATTTCCGGTCCAGTGACGCTTCCTCAAAACTGATCGTAGCTGAGAAAACTTGGTTTTTATGTAAAGTATAGGGAGGCTTTGTGAGGAGTAAACAATAGGCAGAGATCGAGCCCAAAGAGAGAGAAAGACAGTTGGATAGACAAAGGAGGGTGAGTAGTTGCTAATGGGGACTGTTAGTGACTAACAACAGCGGGGGTGTAATGGCAGGCTATGTGGTAACAAGTTCTGAGGAAGGGTCACCGGACCCGAAATGTTAACTCTGTTTTCTCCTCCACAGATGCTGCCAGACCTGCTGAGCTTTTCCAGCAACTTTGTTTTTGTTCCTGATTTACAACATCCGCAGTTCTTTTGGTTTTTATGTGGTAACAAGGCCTGGTGTGTGGAGTAGAGGGTCTGGGACATGGGAGAGTTTAGGCACTAAAATTATTGAACTCGACATTGAGTCTGGAGGGCTGTAGGGTTTCCAAGTGGAAAATGAGGTGTTGTTCCTCCAGCTTGTGATCAGCTTCGCTGGAACACTGCAGCAAGCCAGAGACACAGGTGTTGGCCAGGGAGCAGGATGATGTGTTGAAGTGGCAGGCAATAGGTAGTTCAGGGTCTTTTTTGCAAGCAGAACGTAGATGTTCTGCAAAGTGGTCACCCAGTCTACGCTTTGTTTCCCTGGTGTAGAGGAGACCACGTTGTGAGCAGCCTCTGTGGTAGACTAGGTTGTGGGAAGTGCAGGTGAAGTGTTCCTTCACCTGGAAAGTATGTTTGGGCCCTTGGATATTGGGGAGGGAGGAGGTAAATGGGCAGGTGTTGCACCTTCGCCGGTTACAGGGGAAGGTGCCGTAGGGCTGTGGGGAGGTGTTGGGGGTGAAGGAAGAGTGGACCTGGATGTGCCGGAGGGAACGGTTCCTGCGGAAGGCAGACAAGGGAGGGGAGGGAATATGTGTCTGGTGGTGGCGGAAATGGTGTCGGATGACCTTCTGGATGTGGATGCTGGTGGGATGGTCAGTGAGGATAAGGGGAACCCTATCGCTGTTGCGGGAGGGAAGAGAAGGGGTGAAGACGGAAGTGCAGGAGATGGGTCGGACCTGGTTGAGGGCCCTGTCAACAACGGAGCTGGCGAATCCTTGGTTGAGGAAGAAGGTGGACATTTTGGAGGCTCCCTTGTTGAAGTTGGCCTCATCTGAACATACGCAACGGGGACAGAGGAACTGAGAGAATGGGATGGAGTCTTTACAGGAAGTGGGGTGTGAGGATGTATAGCCCAGGTAGCTGTGGGAGTCAGTGGGTTTGTAATGGATATTAGTGGCCAGTCTATCCCCAGAAATGGAAACAGAGATATCGAGGAAGGGAAGGGGGGACACAGAGATAGATCAGGTAAAAGTGAGGGCAGGGTGGAAATTGGAAGCGAAATCGATGAACTTTTCCAATTCTGGACGAGAGAGGGAAGCAGCACTGATGATATCATCGATGTATCGGAGAAAGAGTTGTGGGTGGGGGCTGGAATAGGACTGGAACAAGGAATGTTGAGGGGTGAGGACAAGTTCAGCCAAGCAGAGGAGGGTGGTGGTGGGTGGGGATGGTTCAGGTCTTTGTTCCAGGAAGAAGCGGAGAGCCCTAAGACCCTCCTGGTGGGGAATGGATGTGTAAAGGGATTGCACATCCATGGTAAAGAGGAGGCAGCTGGAACTGGCAAACTGAAAATTGCTGAACTGGCATAAAATGTCAGTGGAATCACGGATGTACATGGGCAGGGATTGGACCAGGGGAGAAAAGATCGAGTCAAGGTAGGAAGAGATGAGTTCTGTGGGGCAGGAGCAGGCTGAAATAATGGGTCTGCCCGGACAGTCCCGTTTGTGAATTTTTGGGAAGGAAGTAGAAGCAAGCTGTGTGGGGCTGGGGGACTATCAGCTTGGAAGCAGTTGGGGGGAGGGGTTCACCAGATGAAATGCGGTTAGTGACCATAGCTGATACAATGGCCTGATGTTCCCTGGTGACACCACACACAGCACCCAGTTTCCTGGCCAATATCTCTGGCTCAGGCTTGCTGCAGTGTTCCAGCGAAGCTCAACGCAAGCTGGAAGAACAGCATCTCATTTTCCGCTTGGGGACCCTGCAGCCTTCTGGGCTTGATATTGAGTTCAATAATTTTAGGACTTGACCATTTTCACCCAAGTCCTTGCCTGAACCTCCCACACACCAGGTCTTGCTACCAAACAGTCTGCTAATATACACAACCCATTGTTACCCCATGATAGTCCCCATTAATAAATATACATCCTCTTAGCCAGATCGGCATCCCCTCTGTCTGTCCAAATGATTTTCTCTTCCTTTGAGCTCTATGTCCACCTGTCATTTATTCCTCCCCCGTCCCCATCTCTTCTGTCTAAATAACAACCCATTCCAAGCAACATGAACTCGGATTTCTCTTTCCGCGGATGCTGCCAGACCTGCGGAGTTTTCTTATAAATCTCTGATTTCCAGCCTCCGCGAGTTCTTTTTCAAGTCTTATTCTCCTCTTCCTTCGGGATCGAGGATTATTCACCTACCTGTCGAGGAGCAGGTCCAGAACCTCCTGGGTGGTAGTGAAGGTCCGGTACGTGGCCAGGAAGACAGAGACGTAGGAAGAGTCGCCGCAGTCTAAGGCCTCGAGCAGGTGCTGCACTATCCTCTCCAGCGTTCCCAACTTGATGGAGCGGATTTTGACGGTCTCGCACGTGGTGCCCACCAACTCGTTTTCCATCTGGAAGGGCAAGCGGGCAGGAGGCAGATCAGAAAAATGACACCAAGCAAGAGGGGCGACCCCCACCCACCCCAATCACGTCCCAACACTGAGGCGGGCAGTGCCAACCAGCGAGGGCCTGGGGGAAGGGGAGGGGAGGGGGGTGTGCTGCTGAGGGGTCTTTAGTGCACTGTCGGAGGTGCCTGCCCACCCAGCCGCGACTGAGTGAGTCCTGCCCCACCATGACGACTCTCTCCTCCTCAGGCCTGGAGACCCAGCTCACTGGGAAATGGGGGTTGTCCTCTGTGTGTTTGTGGGGACAGGAGGTCAACACCGAAACAGAGAGAAGCAGGAGTGGGCCATTCAGTCTCCAATACGATCATTGCTAGTCATCCAATTCAGATCCCCCCTCTTCCCATACTCTTCCCCCGCCCCACCCCAAACCCTTTGTTCTCTTTAGGCCCTCAGCACATGCCCCTTGCATTGGGTGGGTAAGAGTAACTGGTATTACTGTGGGGAAGAAGGTAAGTTCATTCAACTGGTCACAACAAGGGGTTGGTTCCTAGCACAAGAGAATCGTCTGATGAAGAACATGGGCTCGTTATACTCTTGACAGCTTCAAGGAACTGGAGGGGATCTCAGTGAAACCTTGGAGCAGGTAGGTCCTGAGAGGGTAACCGTCCTCAGGCTGGAGCAAAGGGGCAACGACTCAGGATACGGGGTCGGCCAGGTCGGAGTGAGCAGCAGGAGAAGTGTCACCATTTGGAAGGGTTTATAATTATCCACACTGGGGAGCAGCAGTTACTGCGTTGTGTGTTCAAGTCAAAATAACGGTACTTAAGGAATCAAGGTGTGTGTGGATGAAGTGTACAGTTGAGGTGGGGGCAGGTAGGGGTGATCAGCCTTTTTATATTACTCAAGCAGCCTCAAGGGATCATTTAGGTTTACTCCTGCTCCTGTTTCTTATACCCTCAAGATCATCGATGTCAGGTTAGAGCATGTATCCTCGAGTTAAACCTGCAGATGTAAGTCCTTCACCCTCTGAGAAAAGGGGCAGACAGACTCTCACTGCAGAGAGTCTCAGGCCTCAGGCTGAAATAAAGCACAAAACAGCTCTCCAGAGGCATCCCGCTTTTAAATGCTAGTGTGGAGGAACAGTTCACCGTTTGACTGGCTTTGTCAACTCCTCAGGCCTCGGAGGCCTGGTTCAACATTGGAGATTGTGCCTCGCTGTGACCGGGCCTCCTGGGGGATTCCAACTCCAACTCCTCCAGGAGTGACCGGGAGCCCTGTCTCCGGCATTTAAAGACTAGCCAGTGGGGAAAGAACTGAAAGTAAACACCGAGGGAGGGGGAGAAAAACACACAAACTGGTCGTTTGAAAGCAAAAAAAAAGTCAGTTGCTTTTCCAGTTCCTTTGAACAGTTGAGCAAATTCGAAAACAATTGCTTCATCATCAAAGGGCTTCCAGTGAGTTGGAGGAAGACATTAGGCCATCCCAGGGAGGCTTCGTGGAATCACGCAGAATGTATCGAGGCCCTTCAGCTGATTAAGCCTGGGCCAACAATGAAGGGCTTTCAAAGTGGACCCGTTGCCACCACATGCGAAGGCCAATTTGTTTCCTAATTGGTCAGGAGGATGATAGGAGGTGAAGGGAAGCAGAAGGTGGATCATCGCAAGGACAATGGATCACCCGGAAAAAAGAAACAAAATCTAAGTTGAGCCGGCGACCTTAAGACAACCCCTTATCGTGTCTGACACAGCTGCTGTGTGGTTTTGTCACTACCACCCGAGAGGGTGGCACGGTGGCTCAGTGGTTAGCACCGCTGCCTCACAGTGCCAGGGGCCCCGGGTTCGATTCCACCCGAAGTGACTTTCTGTGTGGAGTCTGCGTGGGTTTCCTTCAGGTGCTCCAGTTCCCTCCCACAGTCCAAAGATGTGCAGTTTAGGGTGGATTGGCCGTGCTAAATTGCCCCGTACTGCCCAGGGATGTGCAGGGTTAGGGTGGGTTAGCCACTGGGGAAATGCAGGGTTTCAGAGACACGGTAGGGGAGGTAGATCTGGGTGGCATGCTCTTTAGAGGGTCGATATGGGCTGAATAGCCAGCTTCCACACTGCAGGGATTATGTATCGGGCGGTGGGGGGAAAGCTTAGGTAGGGTCCCAAATTAATAAGGAAAGAACTTCATAATAGTGTGCAGAACAGGCCGAGCGGAGAAGTTGGGTTTCAGTCTCTCCTCAATGCAACCACAAAACGAAAGAAATTTAAATCCTCATATTCCATCCATCTACAGCCTATCATTGCCTCTTCCTTTTCTCTGCGATTGCCACCAGTTTGCAAAACCCTCTGAAGTATCTGTGCCCGCTCTGTCTCTGTCCTGATGTGTCTCTCTGGTTTCAGTCTGACAAGCTGTGCTTTTTCATTGTCTTCCCCCTGTGAATTGCCTTGGGAGTACATTAAATATATATAAAACTGCAAGCAGCTGACTCTCACACAACTGAGCCAACGGCCTCAGGCTGAGCTGCAAGTCAATTGCCGCTCATTAATTGCATTTTAAGAATCAAATCCCTCAACATTCAAGAAAGCTCTTTCCTGCAAATGCAAAAAGGGGAGGGTGACCAAAAGCAGTGAGCTGCGATGAAGAAAGTCTTTATCAATGGGTGGAACTCAAATGCCGGATTGTACAGCAGGATCTTGCGACAAGTTGATGCATAAGGGGCAAAATTAAGGTCAGAGGGGTGCAGAGTGGATGCAAGCTAGGATGGTACACAGAGTTCGATCACGCTTAATTTGCTTCAACCACTTGTTTATCCCGACAGACAGTTCACTTGTAACCTGACACCTGTGATCCTCTAAAGTGGTTCCTTTTCGCTAATGCCCACTGTTTCAGCGTTGACCTGTTCTTCCGTCACAATCTGCCACACAGACAGCGATGGGCTTTTTAACTTTGGCAGGGTTTTTAATGCTGAATGAGGTGATATTTACGTAAGCTCCCCAACATACAGTTAAGACCTGGGGTGCGTTGTGGTAAAGGATTCAAAAGGCTTTTGTTGTAAATGACTAAATATATTCCAACCTGCAGCACTTGAGTATAGGAGGTCATGTTGTGGCTGTATAGGACATTGGTTAGGCCACTTTTGGAATACTGGATTCAATTCTGGTCTCCCTGCTATAGCTTGTCGTGAAACTTGAAAGGATGCAGAAAAGATTTACCAGGATGTTGCCAGGGTTGGAGGGTTTGAGCTATAGGGAGAGGCTGAATAGGCTGGGACTATTTTCCCTGGAGTGTCAGAGGGTGAGGGGTGACCTTATAGAGGTTTATAAAATTATGAGGGGCATAAATAGAGCGAGTAGCCAAGGTTTTTTTCCCAGGGTCAGGGAGTCCAAACCTAAAGGGCATGGGTTTACGGTGAGAGGGGAAAGATTTAAAAGGGACCTAAGGGGTAACATTTTCACACTAAGAGTAGTGTATGTATGGAATGAGCTGCCAGAGGAAGTGGTGGAGTCTGGTACAATTACAATATTTAAAAGGCATCTGGATGGGTACATGAATAGGAAGGGTTTAGAAGGATATGGGTCAAATGCTGGAAAATGGGACTAGATTAATTTTGGATATCTGGTCGGGATGGATGAGTTGGACTGAAGGGTCTGTTTCCGTGCTGTACATCTCTATGACTGTGACACCCTTGTGTCTGAATTCAAGCTCAGAATTTGGCAGTACACTTCCCTCAGCATGTCATAGAAACATAGAAAACAGGAGCAGGAGTAGATCATTCGGCCCTTCGAGCCGGTTCCAGCAATCGCTGTTGATCTGAAGACAGTAATATCCCAAGGAATTCTGTCGATTTGCCTTCGGTATCACTGACTGATAGGAAATTTCTGATATGGCTATACTCTGGCTCTCTACTCCACGATTTCCCCGTCAATATTGTGTTCGGGCAGGACCCGTATTGGCCCTGAACTCAGCCTTTAATTAGTCATACAGCATGGAAGCAGACCCTTCTGTCCAACCAGTCCATGCTAGTTGAAAACACAACCCTAGCTGAATAGCATGGACGAATTTAAGCACTTATTTTATGAAGGAAGGTTGCAGCTGAGGGCTATATCCATTGGAGTTTCGAGCAGTGAGAGATGATCTTATTGAAACAAATGATCTTGAGGAGACAGGATAGAGTGGATGTCAGGAGGATGTTTCCACTTGTGGGGAGACTAGAACTAGGAGACACAGTTTACATAAGAAAAATAGAGACCTTGACTATTTTCTAAACAGGGAAAGGCTTTGGAAATCTGAAGCACAAAGGGAGTAGGGAGGTCTAGTTCAGGATTCTCTTAAGGTCAACATGCAGGTTCAGTTGGCAGTTAGGAAGGCAAATGTTAGCATTCATTTCAAGAGGGCTGGAGTACACGAGCAGGAATGTACTGCTGAGGCTGTATAAGGCTGTGGTCAGAATGCATTTGGGATATTGTGAGCAGTTTTGGGTCCCGTATCAAACGAAGGATGTGTTGGTCTTGGAGGGGGTTTAGAAGAACAATCTCGGGGATGGACAACTTGTTATATGAGGAGCGGTTGAGGACTCTGGGTCTGTGTTTGATGCAGTTTAGAAGGATAGGGGTGTCTGGGAGGGAAATCTGATTGAAAGTTACAGGCCTGGATAAAGTGGACATGGAGAAGATGTTTCCACTCGTAGGAGAGACTAGAAGCCAAGGGCACAGCCTCAGAATGAAGATACAACCCTTTGGATCCAAGGCGAGGTGGAATTTCTTCAGCCAGAAAGAGGTGAATCTGTGGAACTCATTGCTGCAAAGAGCTGTGGAGGCCAAGTCATGGAGTTTATTTAAGACAGAGGTAGATAGGTTCTTGATTCGTAAGGGGACCAAAGGCAGGGGAATGGGGTTAAGAAACAGAGCAGCCAAGATCAAATGGCAGAGCAGACTCGACCTCTACCTTGAGGTCTAAGAGATCTCCCTTTTAAGACAGACTTGGGGAAAATTTTGTCTCCGACAGTTGGTAGAAGGACAAGAAAGCTGGGTCTTTGAATTATCCAGGGCCGAGTTAGATAGTGTTTTGATCGATAAGAGAGCCGGGGGTTAGGGGAGGGTAGGGCGAGGAAAATGGAGCTGAAACCACAAGCAGGTCAGCTATGATCGTATTGAATGAAGGTACAGACTCAAAGAAAGAATGGCCACCTCCTGCTCTTTGGTCCCAACATTACAGAGAATGTAGATAAAACAGATGAGGCAAATTAGAAGCACATATTAAATGGGATGAGATAAGATAGGATGAGAGGAGAAGGGGGGTCAGAAATGTAAGTGTGGGCTGGTGAGGTCCAATTGTTTCTGTATTGTAAGCATACAGACTTGTTTCTGAAGATGCCAGGGCCCATTATGGTACTTAAGTATCATAGAGCTGTACAGCATGGAAACAGACCCTTTGGCCCAACTTGTCCATGCTGACCAGATATCCTAAATTAATCTAGTCCAGCATTTGGCCCATATCCCTCTAAACCCTCCCCATCCAGATTCCTCTTAAATGTTGTAATTGTACCAGCCTCCACCACTTCCTCTGGCAGCTCATTCCATACACATACCACCCTCTGCGTGAAAAAGTTGCCCCTTAGGTCCCTTTTTAAATCTTACACCTACGCCCCTCTAGTTTTGGACTCCCCAACGTTGGGGGAAAAAGACCTTGGCTATTCACTCTATCCATGCCCCTCATGGTTTTATAAACCTCTGTAAGGTCACCCCCTCAGCCTCTGACGCTCCAGGGAAAATAGCCCCAGTCTATTCCACCACTCCCTATCGCTCAACACCTCCTCCAAACTCGGCAACATCCTTGTAAGTCTTTTCTTTCGAGCTTAACAACAAATTCCTGGATTGATCGGCCAGAAGGGCAGGTCAGGATATGGAGTTGTCACTGCCTGTTAAGTTGCTGCCTGGCTCTGCTCAGTAGGAGCAGAGGGGTGGGTCTGCCATTCGCAGCTGCTGGAAGCCAAATGAATGAATAACCACAGCGTGGGCCGGGTGTCAGCATCACGTGCGAGAGGCCCGCCAGGAATGTTCGCTTACCCCTAGCCATTGCTGCCCTTTGTTCGCTGCCTGCTGTAGGTGCACCTGCCGCTGTGTCACTGTATAAACAGCCCCGTCCACTGTCTCCTCGCTGAGGCCCTGCGGGGACTGGAGAAAGCAGGCAGGTTACTCGCGCAGCAACAACAACTTACGTTCACAGAGCACCGACAATGCAACGAAATGCAAAACCAACCCCACCCCCACATCCAACGACCCGTCCCCAACACTTTGCAGGAGCGCGTCCGCTCACTCAAACTGCAGCGATCTTGCGGTTCAAGTTCATAGCTCTACTGAAAGTGGCCACGCAAGTAGATAGGGCGGTGAGGCATGCTTGCCTTTATTGGTAGGGGAATTGAGCACAAGAGTCAGGATGTCATGTTGCAGCTTTATAAGACTTTAGTGTTCAGTTCTGGTCGCCCCATCGCAGGAAGGATTTGGAGGCTTTGAAGAGGGTACAGGAGAGGTTTACCAGGATGCTACGAGCAGAGGCTAGAAAAACTCGGGTTGTTTTCTCTGGAGCGGTGAAGGCTTTGGGGGAGACTTGACAGAATATAAAATTACAAGATGCATAGAAAGGTTTGACAGTCAGAATCTTTTTCCCAGAGCTGAAATGTCTAATGCCAAGGGACATGCATTTAAGGTGAAGTTCAAAGGAAATTAGTTTTTTTTTTAACGCAGAGAATGGCAGGAGTCTGGAACGCGCTGCCAGGGGTGGTGATGGAGGCAGATACGATAGGGGCATTTAAGGGGCTTTTAAATGAATATACAAGGAACGGAGGCATACGGAGCAAGGGTGGGCAGAAGGGATTAGTTTCATTTGACATCACGTTTGGCACAACAGCGTGGACCGAAGGGTCCTGTTCCTGTGCCATACAGTTCTGTGTTCTGTGCCAAACAACCAAATATTTGGTCTACGGATTTGGACTTAAGGAATAAAGTGAGGCCAAGAGGGTGGAGAGGAAATTCCAGGGCTTGGACCCTAGGGAGATGTCAGTTATCCAAAACGCCAGGAGTGCGGAGGGTTGGCAGGGGCGGGCTGGAGGTCACTTCGATAGGAAGGGGCGAGGGATTTGAAAACAACGATGAGAATTTGAAAATGCAGTTCGCCACTTGACCGGGAGCCGGGCTATGTCAGCGGGTTTAGTGTTGACCAGGGAGCAGGGACTCTACGGAGTCGGGGGGGGGAATGGTTTAAGACACAAGCAGCAAACATTGGCAATGACTGAGTTTACAAAAGGGTTGAGCATGGGAGAGCAGCGAGGAGCACGCTGGGATAGCTGAGGGCAGAGACAATAACGATGGGGATTTTGGCACAGATGAGATAGCAGGAGGTCGGGGTGGGGGGGTCCACTCATGTCACTGAGGTGGAAGTTAACCGTGTAATAATATGAGGCCTGTAGTTTATCTCAGGGTCAGATGTGCATTTCGCTCCCGAGCACCCATGCACACACACTTTTACAAACATATATACATGAAGAATACACATTAAAACCCGCCCATATGAATATCTGGCCCCATCAGTAAACAGGGCCTCTGAAATAAAGCCTGTCCCCACATGTACCCGACCCCCCACCCCCCCGCCCACACACACACACACACACACACACACACACACACAGGATCACAGAACAGTAAAGCACAAGACGAAGGACCGACAGGCCATCAAGAGTCATGGGCAGTGAATAGCCTCCAGGAATGTGCCACTACAGCTCTGATAGAGTCCTCACTCCTCTCTTCCCAAGCCCCTCCACCCTCGAGGTCAGACACTGGCTGCTTGAACCTCCCTCCCTTTCGAATGGTACAGCCTAGAACAGTTTTGAAATAAATCACCGATTGCCAGCATGTGAATAACTGTGGCTTGGAGATCCTGCCACAGCATGCCTCGGTCCCAGACTCTGCCGAACACACCCCACTGTCTAATCGCATATTAGACAACTGACGGCGTTTCACAGGAATCATCAAATCGGACAAAAGTAACCAGACACCATCACTGCAACCCCATGCTTAATTTCATAGAATCACTGCAGCGTGGAAGCAGGCCATTCAGCCCATCACCAACCCTTTGAAGAGAATCTCACCCACACCCACCGCATCCCTGATAACCCTGCATTTCCCATGGCTAACCCGAACATCCCTGAACACTATGGGCAAACCACCCTAACCTGCACATCTTTGGACTGCGGGAGGAAACCGGAGCATACCCACGAAGACACGGGGAGAATGTGCAAACTCCACACAGACAGTCGCCTGAGGCTGGAATCAAACCCAGGTCCCTGGCGCTGTGAGGCAGCAGTGTTAACCCACTGAGCCACCGTGCCACCCCATTGTATCCACTTTCATCTGTTTTCTCCCATAACCCTTGATTCCACTAAACTCATTGGCTTCTAACCCCAAGCTAATCCGCGTCACATGTTCGCAAGCTATTCCACCTGATCCACTGGACATTAACAGGCAGCAGAAAAAGTTACAAAGGTAACGACCCAGAAAAAGAAGATTGCTTCTACCAATCCCAGCTCAATGCCATAGAGGATCGTTATTATACCCAACTACCATGCCAGCAAAGAACAACTAATTCATTGGAAATCAAGAATCAAAGGATTTGTGGAGAACTCGAGTCGAGTTATAGCAGTGTTCCATGAAAATTCACATCCAGTCTTTCATCAGACTCTCCGGGAATATTGGAAAGGATTTCTGCGAATGCACATGATGTGGTAGGACCTGGAGCGGTGAAGTCACCCCTCTGCATCCCTCAAATATCACTGTCCATGAGAGGAAGGGAAAGACAAACAGGAAAAAACTGAAATGAAGCATGAGCTGCCAGCTCTGTGTCTGAAGTCACCCATTTGCCACCTCTCCCTCTCGCAGGCAGAATGTGAACACATTCAGTTGTAGTTCGCCTGTGAGGAGGTGAACATGCTGTGTGATACGCTTCCCAGCAAACTGGTCCTGCTAAAGGTCAGCTCTACCATTAAGCAAAGGTGTGATGTGCTAGTTCACAGGCAGAGTGTAAGACTGGCAGAAAAAGAGCCCTTCTACCATCTCTATGCAACTGTCTGCTTCATCCTTTCTCAGACTGACACAGATTACATGCCTGGGGGTAAACTGAATCAATGTTATCTGGGTTCGATCACAGTGCACTGACGTTGTATAACATTCATGGTGTGTTTACTGGTGAGGGGTTACAACGTGCGCCTGCTTGGGGACAACATATAGTGTTCGTGCGGCTGTGCGTACACCCTCGGTATGCTAACGCTTGAATGTCACTACATACTGAGGTTCTACCTGTCCTCACTGTTGCGAGGGATGGGACTGGCCTCGCTGACCTTCGTGGAGGAATTTGCAAAGAAAAGCACCTTTGACCACAAGTTAGGAAGTGGTCAGCATGCAATGTCCCCGAGACCCCGAGGGATAAGGAGAGGATGGATCTTGTCAGCTGTTTCCCTGTGCAGACAGTCAAAGCCATATGGCTGAATGCATCATCGCTAGAACTTTCCAACAAGCACCATGACATTGCTGGGCTGGTGGTGAGAAGGGCACTATCCGTGAGATCCTTCATGCGTGCACGGTTAGTCTGCACCACCTCACACTGACCTCAAAGCAGCTGCGGTGGGGGTAGACTCTGTCACTCATCTCCTTTCGGTATGTGCCCTTGCAAAGGAAGTCTAGGAGAGAGATGCAGCAGGTTCTACTCCGCGCTCTATTCCCTGGGACGCACACCAAGACAAATAGCGACTGCACATGGACGACCATCAAACCAATGAAAGACGCTCCTTGGTCTGCCTGAAACTTGTCGGCCTTCCAGAGTTGACCCTAAGCCAGACTGGCACATTCCAAGGACTGAGGGACGCACTGAAGCTTGGGGCAGCTGCTGCCGAGGGGCAGTGGGGAAAGACCACCGTCTGAGGTCTTCCTGCCAAAGTTAAATGGGGGTCCGTTCCGTTATCGGACCCTCCGGGTGCCTCAAATATATGTAAATAGTATCTTGCATAAGAAATGCCTTTGGATTTGTTGGAACTATGGGGAAAGTTAAAATCCAATGTTTGTTTGTTTCTTCATGTGTAAAGACTGTATAGAACTGAATTACTTTCGTGACTATGTGTGTATATAAAGATTTTTTTTAAAATTAACAATGTATGTTTGGAAATTAAAAGTAACTGCACAGTGTTCACAGGGAATGTGCCCAGTCATGCTACAGTGGGTGTACTCAGTTACATAATTATTCATTGTGTGTACAGTATGTATAAGGTATGTATCCAGGATGTGTTGAGATGTTTACAGTGTTGTGTATGTTGCCAAGTTCAGTTAGTCAGATGTGTACAGCATGATGCATACAGTCACCAAATACATGGTAGCCGAATAAGGGCTTTCTCCTTCCCTTATGCAAAATATAATGACTCTCGAGCTTCAAAGCCTCATCTCTCTTACGGATAGTTAACAAATCCTGTGCAATGTTTTGGAGCTCATGGTGCACGTATCCAGTTACATTCTGGTGATCTTTGTATGCATACCTGAGTTACAAAAGCCGGAGTTACATATAAACATCACGAGGGTCCAGTTACGTGGATGTGTACACAGCGAGTGTGTGGAGGTTACATTGTGGTGTATGCACCTAGTCACATGGTCAATTTTCTGGGAGTACATCATACCGTTTATGGTGTGTATACCCAGGGTGCAGTGTGGCATTCAAATTGTGTCTGCCAGGCTTCTCTGTTCACTGCTGTGTTCACTGTGCCAGTGTCCAGCTTAAACTAGGTTATCTTGCAATATATGTCTATTGTGAGGATGGGAGCTTGCACTCTCCATGTGTTTCAATGCACCTCATTGTTCATAGGATGAGTACATGATGAGTTAAAACAGATTCAGTTCTGCTGAACAGAGATGCTTTGTGAGGCTGGCCTAGTTGAAGAGACTGATTCATGTCTTAAGAATCCCAGGCACGTTGGTACGGTCACTGTTTATGGCCATAAAGTGATTAAGAAGCTTAAGTGTACCGTGTAACCATGGTAACAGAAAAATTGAGATGAACATGAGTGTGTTGTTTTAGTTCCGTGCTGTCTGATGTTGGTACTGTTTGTCCTTTGACGTAGCATAGTTTAGTGTCAGTACGT